TTAATATGCTAAAAAGATAAATTTATTTTCTTAGAATTGTTGCAATGTTAAACGGACTCCCGAGAGGATGCTTCCCTGATCACTACAATTTTAACATTTTTCAAGTCGAAGGTCGGCCGTTAACGTTCTTACATATCTTCATAATATGCAACTTTTTCTCCCTGCGCCCTTACAACATACCCATTTAGTAACCTTCTACCTTGAGTTGCACTTAGGCCTTGTATTCAGTAAACAATAGTAAGAAAAATGAAGGTTGCTAAAATATACGGTAAGAACGAAGCTTATATCTGGCACATAACTTTTATTACAGTACTAGACTACCCGTGATCCGTTGGGTCACTGTTCAGGTTATAAAACATTGAAGTTGATTTCAGTATTCCATTGATATTTTATTATGATTCAGTTAAATATTTCAATTCGTTCGTGTCATCATTGGTCTGGTTTACAAGTTCATGTTTAACTTTTTACTGATTGTAATTTAATTGCATTTAATAGGAATAGAAATTCCGAGGTAAATTTGAAATTTAAATCAGATTAAATTAAATTTTTTCTTAATATGCCACAAAATATTTTTTAAATATTTAAAATATTGTTTGTTTAAAGAAAGCTGAAATATAAATAATTACTCTACAAACAAATGGACGAAACAGCAAACCGGGAACTATTTTTGTTTGTCTTTAACTTAAAAATATTTTAATTAAAAATATTGTGTTTGAAGAGTTAAAATAAAAACACTTACTGTTAACAACTTAACAATTTTTAAATCTTATTCACTTAAATCAGATTAACTTAAATCACTATGCACCGGACGGACGGATGGACGACGGACGGACGGACGCGCGCACCACACAAGCACGCAAGCACCTAATACAATCACAGACTTTTAGTATTATATCGATATTTTTATAACTCTTTTATTTTAATATCAGTTGATATTGTTAATATTTTGCAGTGGTTCTTAACCAGGGGTGCTCGCACCTCCTAGAGGTGTTATATCGGTTCCTAGGTGGTGCAAGTAAACCATTAGGCTGGGTTTATTAAGGAAAGTCTAGTGTAGTGTTGGCGATCTGACATAAAATTTTACATTGTAGAATATAATGATGATGACAGCGACATCAAGGAATATCTCATCGAACTGAGAAACAATCATGGAATCCAAAGAGTTCGCCAATAATCGCCTGGAACAATTCTGGGCTTCCTAGTTAAAAACGTATCTTGTACTGACAAAAAAGCACACGCTGTGCTCATGCCTTTCGCGACTACAAATCTGTGTGAAACTTTGATTTTTCTGTTTGCATCACATCAAAACCAAGTGCAGAAATCGACTGGATCCTCAACACGACATGTGAGTAGCACTCAGTACCAAGACACCAAGATTTGATGTTATAAACAAAAAACAACGGTAACAAAGTTTGTGGCTCAACTAGAATCATTCACAACACACCATGCATAGTGCAAGCACAGGTTACCATAATTTTATTTTATTTTTTGCTATTAAGAAAGTAATTTGCGTTTTTGTAATGCGTTATTTTGTTGCCAGTTATGTGAATAAAGATTAAAGAAACACAATGTTTGTTTTTTTTTATTTACATATGAGATCAATATTGTTTTTCATCAATTCAGGAAGGTGGGAGAACTGGTTAGTGGTTTGAAAGGGGTGTGAGAATTGGTTGATGATTTGAAAGGGATCCGAAAACTGGTTGGTGGTTTGAAAGGAGTGCGAGAACTGGTTGATGATTTGAAAAGGGTACCAAAACTGGTTGGTGGTTTAAAAGGGGTGCGAAAAATGATTAGTGGTTTGAAAGGGGTGTAAAAGTGGTTGGTGGTTTGAAAGGGGTGAGAGAACTCGTTGGTGGTTTGAAAGGTGTACGGTAACCGGTTGGTGGTTTAAAGGGGGCGCGAGAACTGATTGGTAGTTTGAAGGGTGTGCGAGAACTAGTTGGTGGTTTAAAAGGTTTGCAAGAACTGGTTGGTGGTTTGAAAATGGTACAAGAACTGGCTGGTGGTTTGAAAAGGGGGCAAGACCTGGTTGGTGGTTTAAAAAGAGTGTGAGAACTGGTTGGTGATTTGAAACTGGTACAAGAACAGGCTAGTAGTTTGAAAAGGGGGCAAGATCTGGTTGGTGGTTTGAAAGTTGTGCGAGAACTGCTTGGGGATTTGTTGAGGTACAAGAACTGGGTGGTAGTTTGAAAGAGGTGCGTGAACCGGTTGGTGCTTTGAAAGGTGTGCGAGAACTGGTTTGTGGTTAGAACGGTGTGCGAGAACTGGTTCGTAGTTTGAAAGGGGTAAAACAACTTGCTGGTGATTTAAAAGGTGTGCAAGAACTGGTTGATGGTTTGAAAGAGATGAGAGTACCGGTTCGTGGTTTAAAAGGTGTTCGAGAACTGGTTGGTGGTTTGAAAGGGAGGTGAGTACTGGTTAGTGATTTGATAGGAGTACGAGAACTGGTTGGTGGTTTGGATGGGGTGTGAGAACTGGATGGTGATTTGAAAGGGGTATGAGGACTGTTTAGTGGTTTGAAAGCGTTGCGAAGAAGAAAAACAGCTAAGAATCACTTCAATCTTAACGTGTTTAATTTATGAATCAAATTTTATTGTATGGGCGTACGTATATACAGGGTGTGGTGAATAAATTGTCTTCTAAATACTCAGAAATTACTGAAGCCCTGTAGGAAGATGAATGGAGTCATAACGTCGTCATCACTCCAAACTCCTCCGTAATCACCATTAGACTCATCCAACTATTTCCGAATCCTCAGATTGACACCCAAACAATCTGAAATGTTTGTATTGGATCATCAGGCGCGAATGCTAAGAAGTACAGCATGCCGTTTCCAAATTTCTGGCGAAGTGAATTGAATCACTGGGCTCTTTTTCTCACAGACGGTTCCCAACTGACGCTACTATACTGTGCAGTCGCCATAATAAAAGTAAACAAGGCGCATGCGTGAAATTAAAAATATAAAATGGCGACAATTTTCCCTGTATATATTAGACGGTTATTAACTATTATTAGATTCAATGTAGACTTTAGGAAGAGAAAAAATATAAGGATCAAAGCAACAAAGACAGTGATACTCGTATGGATCATTCAAGCATAAATGACAATGGTTCATGAAAGAAAATTTACATAGCATTAAAAAATGTTTGAGATTTTCTCAAGTCTATCAGATGAAGCATTTTCAGTTACCCGGTTTATTTGCGTTCATTTACACAAAACAAATTTTTAAATATACATGAAAATTTCCCTATTCCTTGTTTAGTCAAATGATAAAATATGCTGTATTTTATTGTTTTACTCAAGTGGTTTCTGAAAAACACTGGAAAACATTGGAATAGTAAAATATGCTTTCCGAAAGCTAAAGTAATAAGAAACAGGAAAATTTCGTTAGCAACAAGGAAATGAGTGCTAAACTGCTATATAATAGTAACTTTCCGCTAAAGAAGTGTATATTTATTGTATTTTTACGTACAATGTTGGCACAAGGTCGAAGGGGAAGTCGGGTGGAGCCAGCTGTCACTAGGATAAACTAGCATAAACTTAGCTAATCTGATTCGCGACCCATCCATTCATTACAATTTACTCATTCACCACAAGAACACATCTCCCTTCACCCAATCCTACATTTACCCAAATGCCACATACTCACAGGGGAACCTACTAAAACCCAACGATGTAAAAATTTATGGATATTTACAATTTTCCAGTAAGGAAGTGAATACTGAACAATTTCGGCACGTATGGAGAGGAGACATAAGGCAAGAGAAATGCGGTTCTAAAGAAAGATGCTGAGAATACCATGAACAGAACATGTAAGCAAAGAGGAAGTTTTCAGGAAAATAAAAACGAAAAGGACATTTACACTTAGAATCGGAAAGAAACAGTTGAAATTACTTGGACACATAATGAGGAGAAAGAGCTTGGGAAATTTGATACGCACAAGACATATTAATTAGAAAGAGGGACATAGAGAAATATCGATTAACCTTCCTGTACAAATGGATGGCAGAATAAGGACTGGGAGGGATAATAAGGAGGTAAAAAATGCTAAGAGCTACGAAGGATAGGAAGTTGTGGAGAGACATGATCGCCTAGGCCCTGACGAAGAAGGATCCTTCTTTTTTTCTCACTCCAAATTGATAATGTGTAAATTGCTATCAAGCGAACTCTGATTGATAATGAAACCTTGCCAGTGAATCTAAACTTGCCCCGGCCTCTGCAATAACGCTCAGCTTTGACCGTATCCAGACAACAAAAAAGAAAAAGGAAAAAAGGGAAAGAAAAGAAAACCGCCCACTCATGATCAAAACATAATAATTATGAACGTTTTTCAGCTCCGTCTTTAATAGACGTTTGTTTCATTGACAAAAACGTCGGGTATAGAATTGTCTGTAAATGTATGTATTGTGCAGGTAAATGCGGGTTTTTCACAGTGAAATGAAGCTGATACAAAAAAAGAATAAGAGAAGATATATCTACGTTTGTGTGTGTTTGTTTATTAACAAATACTTGTGAAGGAACAATAATGTATTTATTCTATTTAAAATCACAACAGCCTCTCTAGGCCTTTCTGCCTATCTGTGTGTCCCGCTAGAATTTGTTGGGTTTTTTTGGGACATTCAGTCAAAATAATCCCGGTTGCTTGGTTTACCCAATGCTATCAAAGTTTACATAATGAACACATACACACGCACAAATACGCATATATGCGCACATACAACCGCATATACTCATATAGAGGCGTTCATAATTGCTAAATACTTCCGTATCTGAAAATAAATAACGAAAAACAAATCAAAAAAGGACGTAAACTCTTCTTTATGTCTTTGACACTGTCAAAACAATGTTTTGGCCGATCCATTCTACGGGCATCTTCGGATGCATTATTCATATCGTAAGAGAGGGATTTTTACGCTACTGTAACGCAGAAAAAGACAAACGCTAGTAAAAACTAATTTTTTCTATTTAAATTCCTCACATTTTTAACTTAAATTTTTGGTTTACGGCCACACTACGTTGAAACTCCAGTTCCCGTACGATCACCGAAGTTAAGCAACGTTGACTCTGGTCAGCACCTAGATGGGTAATTGCTTGAGAATCCCAGATACTGTAAGTGGTTTAATGGATAATGCTTCGGAATTGTTTAATTGGAGAGCCGAGTTCGAATTCCAGTTGGGTTTGTTATATTTCTTTATGCGCAAATACTCTTGGGAAAAGTATAAGTCCACCTCTTCTCCCCAAGATAAAATTGCGTACAAAATATTTAGATTTTGGCATTAACCCTTTGAGCCATGAACACCGCTTTACCGGTGATAGGGAAAATTACGTAATGCCCAGCCACCGGTTGAACAGTGGTAGAAAAAAATGACGTAATGCCCAGCCACTGGTTGAACGGTGGGTAAACACTTGTAATTATTTTTTATATCTGCCGGGAAACATTACATACCAATTATTTGCAAATTTTGATCCAGGAGCACAGGGAGATGGGTTAAAATTGTTCAGGAACGCAGTGCTCAAAGGGTCAAATAAACCATACGGGTTGATATGCCGCTAAAATCAACCAACATTTAAATTTTTAAATTGCAATTCACTAAATTCCTAAATTTAAATTCCTAATGTCCAATGATTATCGTTTATTATATTTTTCGAGAGGATCGGAACGTGAAATCAAGCGAGCCGAGGTCGAATTCCGATTGAGTTCGCTGTATTCACTTTCGCACAAATAGCCTTGAAAAAAGTATGAATTCATCTCTTCTTCACACACCCGTAAGTTCAATAGCAGAGTATACTGTAATTTAGCCGTGATTAGCAACCAGTCTAGGAGAAAAACAATTCTGAATTTAAAACCACTCAGTCACCTGAAGCTGAACAAAGACAATTAGATATGGGGTGCTGATACTATCTTTGAACTGCTACCCCTCCCTCCCTGATACGAGTCTGTCTTGCGTGCGTAGCGTACCTCTTATAGTCACATAAACGCCTTAGGGCAATCAAAACTATGAAAATAACCCCTAACCCTAACCCTGCCGTACTATGGTAAATGAACAATGGCTGTAAGACAAAAACATGATAGATTTCAGCAGCTATGTATAATCCCGTGGCCGGACATTTGGCCAAGAGACATTTGGCTGACGGACATTTCACCTAAAAAGTACAAGTAAAAATAGTAACAAACAATATTATTTTAGTTAACCATATTATAAGGTAGAATAGGATTAGTAATTACCACTGAATTTCAAATGATTAAATTACTAAATCTAAATTTAAAGTTAAAAGTTTTCTTATTTCAATATTTGTTTATTGAAATTAGTATTTTAAAAAATATTTGAGTGTATTTAGGTAAAAAAGCACCCAATTATTTAAATTCGTATTTAACAGTAAGATAAAAGCTACTTTATCCCTTTAAGATAATGATCATTAAAAGCGAAATTGAAAGATCTTTCATATCGTAAAAGCTTAAGATTTTTGCGGCAGTAAAATGTGCTTTTTTTCAAAATACTTCGTTTTACAAGTGACAAGCGACGGTGATAGTCGCGTAATCACCGCTAGTTTTGTTTCAAAAACCCATTTCTCTATTTTAAGCTTACCTTAAAGTAATAATACTTTTTTTCAAATCAGATTAATTATACTTTAAATCAGCTAATATTCCTCAAATAAAGTTTCAGAAAAGTATATTTCATTTTTGGAAACCGAGAAATATTTTGTGTTTACAAATGTGTCAAAATGGCCGATATTTACCGATTTTTATCGATTTTCTGACAGCGACCAAGTCGTTGAAATTCCCATCAATATAATTTCTATATTAAATACACTAGAGTATTTTGGTTACTGGAAAGAATAAATTTAATCATTTAGCTTTCAATTAAAGCTAAAATGAAAGCTTCAAGATTAATTTTTTATTTAAAAAAAATCATTTTATTTTTAAATCTTAGGCATCCAAAAGTGAGTGGAGGTACCTATATTTAAGAAAGAAAATTAGCCAAAATGTAAATATATAGCTCAATTGAATGAAGCAACAGAGAAATAAACAGAAAAGAAAGAAAGAAAGAAAGAAAGAAAGAAAGAAAGAATTGCTGTCGTCGTTTTCGCTCTCACCCTTACAGACGACATCCATCCAACTGGTGTCTTGTATCGAATCAGTTGATACCGTTTCTTTCGTTTGTTCAGAGTCTTTGATGCCGTGACACCAGTCATTCAAATGTTCCAAATTGCTTGTCGAGAATTCACGCCTGAGCAACGCCAGATTTGCTGAAGGTGGAGGGTGGATGCCGCCTTGAAGTCGAAAAACGCTTGCTTTTCAACTTTGATGGAAGAAATGGTCGTTCTAATCCATCAACTTACAAGTGCCGCACGAGGAAAATAAATGCAATTACACCTCACATTTCCTCTTTTCCGAGTACCGTTTAATGAAAAGCAATTCAAATTGCTTCACACACGCACACACACACATATATATATATATATATATATATATATATATATATATATATATATAACCCCTAGAATAACTGTAAACATAACCGTTACCGCCCACCAAAATAACCGGTAGAATAATACAATAGTCTACCCACATCACTGACCTGTATATATAAATAGTCGAACAATAACATAACGCATTTGGACTGACGATTGTGTTTAGTATGAAACAGACTATCGCTTCTGGGTGTTGACTTCAAAGTACACTTTTATATTTACATATGCTCTATCCCTAATATTGAGCAATTTAATCCATAAATATAGCATAACTTAAAAGGAGAAAGAGCAATAAAAGAACAGGAATTAAGAAGACAAAATATAACGATTGACATTGTGTTTATTTTGGGGAGTAAATCAAAGTTGACTGGAAAACAAGAAACTGATAGAAAGTTCCACAAGCAATAAGTACGAGAGAAAAAACTGTTAGCATAGAACTTACGGTTACATCTAGCCATTTCAACTGTAAATTGATGAGAACTTGCCGCCAATCTATTTCTGTGATTAAATTCATAAAGTCTAAGTATCATAGAGAAAAGTTTATCAGAAAAAAATACCATGAAAATATTTATAGAAAAGGCACAGGGAAGCTACGTTACGGCTGCGGGAAAGGAACTGAAGTCGAGATACGATGTCAGGACTAATAACATTGCAGATTCGTCTTTGTATTTTATGAAGAATCCCTAACATCAGACCAGATGTAACACCAATATTCAAGGAATCTTATGTGTCAGGCAAGAAAAATTGTCTAGCACGACAAAGCGAACAGAAATGTTGTAATTGTTTTGCAAAAAAATTCCATAGCTTCAACAGAAAAATTTTAAATTTTAAAATAATTATAACATAGCGCGTTTGCGCGTGTTTTTAAAATCAGCATCACAACGATGACAGTTACAAAAAGTTTGTCTTTGTAATTCACTCCTATGTATGATCTCGGAGCTGATCGAAAGTACTTGGGTAGGAAAAAATTACGGCGCTTTCCTTGATGAATTTCATCTTAATATGGAGAAACTGATTAGAGAAATAAAAAGGATTATTATAAAAATAGACAAAATATGTCTATATTATTCAATGGAACATGTCTATATATATATATATATATATATATATATATATATATATATATATATATATATATTATCAAATAGATTAGGTCCGACAAATAACATATATGATGGTTCACATAAAGGGTCCAAGAACGCATATTTTCTAAGAAAAATCTTGAACATTCAGGCCGATAGATGTAATTAATACTATTTAATTAAAAACAGAGCATTTACTTAAATTATATCTATGTAAATAACGTATAAAAATATATATATATATATATATATATATATATATATATATATATATATATATATATATATATTTCGTTCGTGCCTGGAATAAATTTAAAATGCGTTTATTGATGTGAAATTGTTTGGTCTGATGAGGCGAGATCGATTAATTAGTCTCATGAAATAAAATAATATCATGGATTTCTAAAGTATCCGCTTTCATCATTATATATATATATATATATATATATATATATATATATAGCAATTGTTATGAAAAACTTTAATGAACAAGCTGGTGACCTTTACCATTGGTGACACGTGTAGAAAGATTAGAATTTGGACTTCAATTCTGGTGAAATTTTCGTCTTAGCTTAAAACTTTGTTCCAGTGAGAACTGGAGGTCGAAATAAGAATCCATATTTCTTTTTACAGGAAACTCATTTCGTCTGGTCACCTCCGACCGCACAAAAGGGCGGGAATATTTGAACACTTGCATCTCGTGGATTCTGTTGTTATTTAACTTCTTTTTAGGCTTGCTATGGCGAGACGGTCATTCTTAGTGTAAATGTCTTTTTTGTGGTTAAAGCCACGAAATCATACGCTACATGAATCATCATGTGATTTAAAAAACGTGCTGCTATTCATTCGACTACGTGCATTACGATCATCTAGTGTGACATATGGGCCAAAGGGAAATATGGAATGTGAAGATTTATACACATTACTTTAACACTGACAAACAGACATGTTTCTGGAAAAATGTGTGTGTGTGTGTGTGTGTGTGTGTGTGTGTGTGTGTGTGTGTGTATGTGTGTATGTTTGTGTGTGTGTGTGTGTGTGTGTGTTTGTGTGTTTGTGTGTGTGTCTGTGTGTGTGTGTGTTTGTGTTTGTGTGTGTGTGTGTGTGTGTGTGTGTGTGTGTGTGTGTTTTGTGTGTGTGTGTGTGTGTGTGTTTGTGACAGAAATTGTGTGTGTTAAAACATGTGTGTGTGTGTTTGTGAAGTGTGTGTGTGTTAAAAAAATGACTTGTGTGTGTGTGAAATAAAAAATGTGTGTGTTTTGTGTGTGTGTGTGTGTGTGTGTGTTAAACAATGTGTGTGTGTGTATGTGTATGTGTTTTAAAGTTTCCCATGTGGACAACATAATTTATAAAGTTGCCAATGTGGATTATGAACGTGAGGTTCTCGTATTTGATTTTGAATTAAAGACCAAATAGAATGTGTCTTGAAACTATATAGATATCGAAAATTGAATTGGATTGGGTCTTGATATATAAAACAAATTAAAAATGTGGATATATAGAATGAAAATTGTGTCTGAAAAGAATTTAAATTGAAATTTAGTGAGATCAAATAAAG